CAAAGGGTATAAAGCCTCAATTAGACAAGAGGAATAGTTTTCTTTGAGACATATTGTACAGCATGGTGAATATAGTCATAATGTACATTTTAAACTTGCCAAGAGTAAATTTCAAATGTTGACTTACCACAAAATGATACTATTTGAGGTAATAGATAGGCTAATCAGCTTGATTTAATTATTCCACATTGTACTCATAAATCATAACATCACATTACGCCCCATAAAGAAAAAAACTATAATTTGTCAAGTTGCAGGTTTTTTTAATTTAAAAAAAGAAAACTATGTTACCCAATTTTAAATCCCTGTTTTTCTACTAATATGCCAAGCATTATCTTTACAAGCAGACTCAATTATCTATGTATTTTGTACTCCTTGAAACAAAAGGAAGCAACTTCAAACCTGTAGCAGGTGTTTAAAATGTCTATTTTGCTTTGCTCTGCTTTCTTTTTTCTCTTTTAAAAAAATAACTCGGCTGGGCCCAGTGGCTCACATCTGTAATCCCAGCACTTTGGGAGGCCAAGGAAGGCAGAATTCCTGAGGTCAGGAGTTCAAAACCAGCCTGACCAACATGGTGAAACCCCATCTCTGCTAAAAAGACAAAATAAGCTGGGCGTGGTGGCACATGCCTGTAATCCCAGCTACTTGGGAGGGTGAGGCAGGAGAATCACTTGAGCCCGGAAGGCAGAGGCTTCAGTGAGCCAAGATTGCACCATTGCACTCCAGCCTGGGCAACAAGAGTGAAACTCCATGCAATAAATTAATTTTTTTTAATGACTTATTTAAAAAAAAAAATTTACTCGGCCTGGCACGGTGACTCAAGCCTGTAATCCTAGCACTTTGGGAGGCTGAGGCAGGCAGACTGCTTGGGCTGAGTTCAAGACCAACCTAGTCAACCTGGTGAAACCCCATCTCTACAAAAAATACAAAAATTAGCCGGGTGTGGTGGCGCACCCCTGCAGTCCCAGCTATTCTGGAGGCTGATGTGGGAGGATGACCTGAACCTGGGAGGTTCTGCCTTTCCATCCACAAATGCTTTCAAGAAGTGAGTGGATGGCAATGCGCACTGGGAAGACTGGTTCTAGGAAGCAAAAAACAAATCTCATTTCCTGAATGCCATCAGTAGCCATCTGTGACAGGGCTGTGTCTCCTTTGCCAATGAAGGGACTGGGGTTCCAAGGGCTCTGTGACCTCCCTTAGGTCAGGAATCTGGTGAGAAGCAGATCTCTGGGCCCAGAGCACATGCTCTTTCCACCCTCCTAAGTGTTCCAGCCCTTAAAGTTGATGCCTGCCCTTGAGAAATTGCAAAGACAGTGAAAGTTTAACAGGGTAAACAGCTGAGAAGAAAGGGAAAACTTAACTCGAGGCTAAATCTCTTCTACATAATTAAATCAGTCCAACTTGGTGCAGAGTTTTTCAGAGGCTGCATGCTTGAAACTATCTATAAAAAGAAATGCAATTAAGGAGACTTTTTAATATATCTGATTCTTGACTGCCCTTGCTCTAGGCAAGACCTTAATTCTACTTAAGGATAGCTATCTTTGAAAAGTTATGTAAATTGCAAGGTAGGGGGAGAAAAGAAAACAGGAACCCTTTCACCAGAGGCAAATGAGAAGCCCACTGAGAAGGGAGCACAGTGGTAACGGAGCTCCAGCTCACACAATGGCCATCTCAGCTCATTTGCCACCTACAGCTGTGCCCTGTAGACTACATGCAACTCCACCTCATTTTCATTCATTGTATTCCCTTTCCTAAACTAACCAAAACAGGAAACTCTTTTCAGAAATTAGCTGACCATAAGTTGACAGTAACACGTTGTAAAATATGATCTTTTCTCATTTGGTACAGCTGGAAATTGAAGAAAACTTCAACATGTGTCCAGGGTTCTTTTTTTAAAACTCTTAGGTAAATTCCAGAATTGGAGAAGTGGGCAACTGGGCAACTCATTCTCCCTCTACAAGCAACGACATGGGAGGAGAAAGGCACCAATCGAGAAGACATCATTTCATGTTTTTCAAAATGGAGTCACACATGTCAAACTCTAACAAAATGGAGCCAGAGGACAAAAAGAAAGGGCCCTCGTGAAAGTATGCCAATGACAGGAACTATGCCAGGAATTCCTTGGAGCCACAGTATTCCAGATAAGCCTGTTGTTTGCACAGGACACTTACCTGGTGTGCCTGTCTCCAATGGACTAATGCGAACTCCTGCAATAAGCCTCTGTCACCAATGGTTTTTGTTTCAAAACTGCTTACTTCCCTTTTTGGTCTTTAAAAAAAAGCTGCCATTTGCTCCAACTTCTTTGGAGGTACCTATGATTCAGCATAGCACACGTATCTAAATTGTAATCCCCTATTATTCCCAAACTACAGTTTCAGTATTCCATATCTGAAATGCTTGGGACCAGAAGTGTTTAGAATTCTGGATTTTTTTGGATTTTGAAATATTTGCATATACACAGTGAGATAACCTGAGGATGGAACCCAAGTCTAAACATGAAATTCATTTATGTTTGATGCACACGTTATACACAGTCTGAAGGTAACTTTACAATATTTTTAATTTTGATCATGAAACAAAGTTAGCATACAATGAACCATCAGAAAGCAAAGGTATCGCTATCCCAACCACGCATACAGGCAATCTGTGGTTGTCTGGCATTGCCATCATTCCTGACTCTGAATTTATATGCTACCAATAAGACAATAACTTTCTTACACTTATTCACACATAAGTCCTTACCAGTAAAAAATATGACACACCACTGATACAGCGAAAAACAAGGTGTTCAAGGTACCTAAGCAGCACAGCAGCATCAACAGAACACCTGCATCTGCTGCTAAACAACAAAACAACAGACAATGGCTGGCTTTCAGTCCACTGTTCAGCCTGCATTTCTGAGGGTTAACAGCATCGTCTTTACAGTTGTGCAGCTGCATTTGAAAAAAAAAAATAGAGATGGGGGTTTCACTGTACTGCCAAGGCTGGTCTTGAACTCCTGGACTCAAGCGACCCTCCCACCTCAGACTCCCAGAGTGCTGGAATTACGGGCGTGAGCTACTGCGCCCAGCTATGCAACTGCATTTCTACTGAGAACCTTCACAGGTCAGATATAAGATTTTCCACTGTGGCCTCATGTCAGTGCTCAATGTTTCAGATTTTGGAGCATTTCAGATTTCAGATATCTGGATTTGGGATGCTCAACCTGTATTTGGAGAGTAGGTCTCTCTGGTGCTTATTTTAGGCAAACATAAGATAGCTTGCCTGAATTAGCTGGGCACCACAGCTAATCAGAGCACCTGTAGTCACAGCTACTTGGGAGGCTGAGGCGGGATGATTACTTGAGCTCGGGAAGCAGAGGTTGCAGTGAGCCAAAACTGCACCACTGCACTCCGGCCTGGGTGACAGAGCAAGACTCCATCTCAAAAAATTTAAGGAATTTAAATTCTAAAACAGCACGCTTGGTAGAGCTCAGCTCTCCTGACCCACTAGTCGGCTCTGGGCCCACTCTGTCACTCCAGGACACATTATCCTACATCTAACACAGCAGCAGGTGGAGGCAGGACTGCGACTGGCACTGCTCTTTACCCCATGTGCAGAGGGCTCCTTGCAAAGCTGTTATTTAAACTAAAGTCAGAAAAGGTGCCCCTGGGGTTAGAGGTAGTGACCTTCCTTCAGCATGAAGACACAGACTACAGATGTTTCAAAAGATGAAATGGTAGGCTCAGAAGATAAAAATGGAGAGAGGCAGCTGTGCAGGGTAAGTCCCAGTGACATGACATTTCCATCTCCAAAAGGTCACTTGGGCTCCAGCAAAAAAAAAAAAAAAAAACAATAATACAGATTGATTGATGGGCTGGCGTGATCACTTAGCACGTTCGTTCTTTCATTCACTAAGTACATACTGCACAGTTACATGAGCCAAGCCCTATTCTAAGAGGATGGAGGTATAAGTCAGGTGAGCCGCAGGAGTTTGAATTTTAGCCCAAGTTGGAGGAAGTTAATTTTTAAAGCCCCAGTTCTGCCATTTTTAAACTGTATAAAGTTGACCTCTCTTAACTTCTGTTCCGCTTAATAAATGACCTACAAATTAGAGTTCTCAAGACAGCTGAGCAGCAAAACATGTGAAGTCAGTGCCCAAATGTGGAAGCTTGTGGTAATTACAGGTGAAGGACCCCAAGCTCAAGGTTAAATGACTTGCACTGGGTGTCAAGTAGATCTGTCACTCTTATAGGTCCAGCCGACGGCCGGGAAGCCTGCAGGAAGCACGCATTTCGCCGAGGAGGAATCTGAGGCCGGGGAAGAAGGAAGCCCCGCCAAGGTCGACTCAAAAAGCTGGCACCGCCGGGATTCGAACCTCGCGCACACTGAGCTTCGTCGCTGGCGCGCGCCCCGACGCCACCCGTTACCGTGGAAACAGCTGGGCGCGTGCTTTCCCACTCGCTCCTTCCTTGTTTTTTTTTTTTGCGGCAGGATACCCCAGCGACTGAACGTGAGCCGCAGGACGCAGCTACGTTCGCTCTCCTCCCCAGACCCGGATCCCTCCGCGGCCAGCGGCCGGCGCGCTGCTTCCCGACTCGACGCTCGAAACGGCTTCCCGCACGCTGCGCCCCACCCCCACCCACCCAGCCTCACCCCAACCCCCAGCCCGGCTCACCTGCCGCCCGCGTCTCCATGGCAACGCCCCCACCGCGGAGGAAAAAAAAGCTTCGGTCTCTTCTGGGCCCCCTCCCGTGCCGACCGAGAAGCCGGGGCGCCCCACTGACGCTTCGCTCTTTATTTTTATTTTTTTAAGAAAAGAGCCGGCGAGGTTATGGCGAATCTGCGGCATCCAACATGGCGGATGGAGTCTTCGCCCTCCTCCCCACGGGGCGCAGACGCCTGCGTAGCGGACGTCCGCCTCGGGTGACCCCCCCCCACCCCTCAACTCCGCCGGCGCCCATCGCAGTCCGGCAGGGCCAGGCTAACGCGCATGCTCGCAGCCGGAGGCCGTGCTTTTTATCCCGCTGCGCGGATTCGGCCGCTCAGCGTTTAGAGCCACGCCCAGGGAGGGGCCCTCGGGAGGGCCGGAGCACGGATCTCGGGATCGGGAGTCTGCGGTGATGTCGAGCCTTTGCCAGCGCCACCCTAGACCAGCGGCTTGTGCAAGGAGGGTTCTGGGTGCGCTCCTCGTCCCAGCTCTGCCTCTCACAACCCCAAGTTTGGGGCAGCGAATTAACTTTTATTGGTCTCAGTTTACTGATTTGTCCATGGGCTGCTCACAGCCTGCATCCTGCTCAAAGCTGCAGCGTTTCCCGAAGTGCTGGGACCACCCGGCTGGGTTTTAGGGAGTACAGAGAGCACTGAGCGCCCTAAGATCAGACGAGACAAGGCGACTTCCTCCTCTTTCTTCTCTTTGTCCCGCAGCAAGTCTGCGCTGGGCGTGCGCCCCTCCAACACTCGCTCATTCATTTCCCTGCTTTTGGCGCAGCCTGGGACAGGCAGCTGGGTCTGGTGGAAATTTAAGGACCTTGTTTTTGGTTTTGATGTTAAGGTGTTTAGCTTCAACACTGTAGTCCTCGGCTCAAATGACATCTTCCAGCCCCTAGCCCTCTCCCTCCTGAGACCCATCTAAAGTAACGCTCCTAAGACACTTCATAGTTTCTGCGTACCGTAGCATCCATTCCTGCCTGACATTATCTCCCTCCCTTACCTCTGTCGATCTTGATCACCGCTTAAGCCTCAGAAACAACTGGGCCTGACAGTTATTTCATGAGTAGTGAGTTGATATGGCTATGTTCTAAGGTCATTTTCTGTTTATGACGTTTTTCACTTATAGTAGTCATAAAGTTTTTTAATTGTTTACATTTTCAAAAATTAGTCAACTTAAAATGGTGTATGTCATGCAGAGACATTCCCCCCACCCCCCCAAAAAAATGTAAAAGCAGACCTCAAGAGGCTGAAGTTTGGGAAACTGATTTGGTTTCCTGGTTCCTCTGAAATGCTAGTCTTTGTTCTTCTTTTCCTGGAATAACCCTTTTTGGTTGCTGCTCAACATGACATTCTCAGGCAGCCCTGAAGCTCACACTTCGTGTTCCCACAGCTGTGGTAGAACTGGCCTAGCTCCGTTCCCCGTTTCTCTGTTTGCACAGCCTCCTTCCTCACTAGACTGAGCTTCCTGAGCAGCCCTTACAGGTCCTTTTCATTTAGTCTTCCCAGTGCCTACTGCATAGTAATATTTACTGAATGAACATTCTTTCTGGGGGTCACTTATTTTTTAGGAGGAAAACTCCCTTGGGCATTGACCTTCAGGATGACTCATCTGATTTCTCAGGAGCCTTCCTGTCTGCTCCTTAACCCTGTTCTTGGGAAATACAGAACCATGAAAAGACCCCAGAGTTGTCCAGTCCGTTAAATATATGCTCACAGATATAGCCTCCTCCCTCCTCTGCCTTCATTTCATCCTCGAAATCTGGAAGATTAAGTTGGGCGATATGATTATTGTTCTTTTCCAGATGAGAAAAAGGAATGTTCAGAGTGGTCAAATGGCTTCCTGAAATCACACAGCAAGCTAGTGAAGAGCCAGCCGTGGACCTCGTCTCTCCATGCCCAGTCTTCCTCCCACCACCACATCTGGAATGTACCCAAACTGCCCCCCTGGCCTCCGGGAGAGCCTCCAAGAGAGTCAGATCCAAGAGTGCCAGCAAGCTGCTGCACAGCCACCACATCCTCCACCATAAGAGAGATGGCGAGGTGGAGCTCATCAGAATCTTAATTTGGAAATGAACTACTCAAAAAGCTGCATTGATGAGCTTTTCCTTTTAGAATTATAAATATTTACAATAATCATTATTTTGCTGTGAATCGATTTCTGTCAGGCAATTAGAGTTGTCCTGGTCTGCTGACAGTATTGGTTTTGTGCCGGTTTGCCTTTCTAGCAGCAGCATTTAAATGGTATTTATTGATTAGCAGATGGATTGCTCCTAGGTGTTGTGACCAAACAAATTTTGGAAATGAAGCAATTTAAAATTTTTCTCAAAACCCAATTACCTCAGAATACAGAAGACAAATTAAAAGAAGAAACTGTGTACTGTGGATGATGGTTCTGGGTTAATTATTTGGAAAGCTATGATTTTCTCTACTATTCCCATGGCATTTTCTGCCTCCCACCCATTCATCATTCAGAGAAGAGTTACTGAGCACCTATTATTACTGGAAACTGTCCTGGCCATAGGCAGATGGAAATGACAATGAGATGGCTCCTTTCTGTGGGGAATCCAGGTTTGTAAATGGGGAGATGAGTCCACAGCTGGCTCTTCCATGGCCTTATGTGATTCGTAAATTTTCAATCAGCAAACATCTTTATTCTTTCTCTTTGCCAGTAGTATTTCAAAATGCCTTCAATTAATGAAGACACATTTGTGGAATTGGATGTAAATCACCCAGAAGTATATAATTAATGGCAACCTGCTTCAGTGATGGTTCCTAGAGGAGAGTGGCTTTCCAGCTGCCCGCTGGTGGCAGTCGGCCTCTTGAAGCTCGAATTCGAATGAATTGTGTTGATAAATTTATTGACATGAAATGGCGCTTGGTTATATAAGAAATATAATTAATTTGCACAACTGAATATATTTGTGTCAACAATTTTGTAATTATATCCAATATCTTTATGAGAAATAAACACTTACATGAAAACAATAGTTTAGGGACATAATTTCATAAGATGCTTTCTTGAAAGCAGGTTCTGATAAAGGATACATAGAGGCGATCTCAAAATAATGGGTCTTGGCTGGGCGTGGTGATTCATGCCTGTAATCCTAACATTTTGGGAGGCCAAGGCTGAAGGATTGCTTGAGCCCAGGGGCTCAAGTCTGCAATAACCTATGATCATGCCACTGCACTCCTCCAACCTGGGCAGCAACAAAGTAGGACCCTGTTTCTAAAATTTAAAAAAAAAAAAATATATATATATATATGTATGTATGTATATACACACACACACCCACACACATATATTAATGGACCTTAAGGCATCCAACAATGATAAAATCAGAGTTGAGAATAATCAGTTTGGGTTAAGAGTTAAAAATCTAAATAGGCACTTTGTAAAAATAATCCACTTAAAAATCATATAAAAGAGAAGGACATAGTAATACTAGAATTAGATGAGCAATCTCACTATGAACATAACTACAACCTTAAGAAACAGCATCATTTCCACCTGTCTTTTCAGTGGCCCCGGAGTGCCATCACATCCCCAGTCTGCCTGTGCATTCCTGCGTGTACTGTCAGTACCCAAATATTAATCTCCGTAGTGGTTTTCATTAGCAGTGGCCGGGGCTCCTGCAAAGAAACTGATTCCATGTGTGGGATTAAGGGAACATCAGAATGGCCTGAAACATCTTGCTATTCTCAGAAAACCAGGTTCCTTCCAAAAATTCTGGGTTAATGCTGAAAGGACAAAGGAGCAGGCAATGACAATTTGCATATCACAACAACTGTAGATCTATGTTTGTTGATCTACAAGTTGACTCTATGAAAAGCTGTGAGGCTTTACTGATAAAATTGTATGTACAAAATACACATATAACTGTAATTACAAAACTAGCTACAATTCAAAGAAAGGGTAAAATAGGATATTTTAGTAAATAGAGACTTTTAATAAATATGAGATCCTATTTCTTACTTGAAGTTCTCTATGTCTGTTTATGAAATGGTATATTTGTATAAGTTCGAGGGGCAGATAAGTTTACTAACAGAAAGTCAAAGACTTCCAGACTAGGAACCGTGCCAAAACCAGGAAGGGCAGGTCAGGACCAGTGGTCTCATAAATAACCAGGTAAAAGGGGGGCTCAATAATTTATGTTTCAAGTTAATGGATTAGCCAGATGTCCTAAGGGAGAAGCTGATAGATTAAACTGCTATATGGCCCTGCTAATTTTAATGAAATGCTAATGATGCATAATGAAGGTTATTGTAAACTGTGGCAGAACATCATGTACCCGAGACTTCATGCACGTGGGAGTGAAGATTGCAAGAACTTGTTGTAAGTCCTGTTAACGTAACAGTTGAAATGGTCTGAGGGACCCCCAACCAGCCAATGCCCGCTGCCACCAAGAATCCACCAGTCAAGGCCCATGGCAGCCATTCAGTGCACCTGGGAAGGAGATCATCTTTCTCTCTGCCATCCAATAAGTGCAATCCTGAAAAAATTTAAAATATGTATTGTAGAGATGACAAAGAAATTGGTCAAGTCAATAACACCTTTTTTTTTGGACACAGAGTCTTGCCTCTGTCACCCAGGCTGGAGTGCAGTGGTGGCAAGATCTCGGCTCACTGCAACCTTCACCTCCAGGGTTCAGACCTCCTGCCTCAGACTCCCAAGTAGCTGGGATTACAAGCACTTGCCACCACCCCCAGCGAATTTTTGTGTTTTTAGTAGAGATGGGGTTTGACCGTGTTGGCCAGGCTGGTCTCGAACTCTTGACATCAAGGGATCTGCCGCCTTGGCCTCCCAGAGTACTGGGACTACAGGCGTGAGCCACACACCCAGGCTAATAACAACTGTTTTTACAAAATTAAGGTATGTGTGCAGTAAAAACTTTTGTGTTAAATTTTAAAGTGTTTGAAGCATTTTGAAATTACAGTCAACAGTTACATTGAAACAAGATTAACTGTGTAAATGTTTAGACAAAATTTATTTTGAAAGTTTTAATTTATCAGTTGTATTTAAATAGTTTAGGGATAAAGGTGACTATGTAACAAATTTTCTTTAAATCAACTATGAGTGGGAGTAACAGACCCATGGTAAAAAAGGGACAGGGAGTGGAATTTGGATCCCAGCAAAGTAAAGGAAAACCAGGAGAGCTACCAGAGCCCAGCACGGTTGGGGTGTACAGCTGGGACCCACTAAACAGTTGTTGAAGAAAGGGAGAAGGGTTGGAGGCAGGGAAAGATGGAGTGAGGGATTGAGGAAAAGGAACAATACGTAAATAAGCATTTATTTGTAGTTGTAGTGTAAACAGCACTGCTTTGGATGTTCAGAAGAGAGAAAAAGTATTTCAAATAAAGCATGGCATCTGGTATCAGTACGAGAGGGCTGGTTAAATGGATGGTTCAGCCATACGTGGAAATACAACGTGGTGGTTTGAAAGAATGAGAGTGGCACATGTGGAGACCCAGGGTGTGCTCTGCAATGCATCCTGGAGCAAAAAGAGCCAGGTGCAGGACAGCATCTGGAGCACAGGACACTGTCACTTGTGAACATGATTATACACGCATACAGAAGCTGAAAATGTGGAAAGATACTGGCCATAGGGCGGACAGCTTTGGAAACTGTCTGGGCCAGGAGATCTGGCTCACAGGGATACTGACTTCCCTGAACATTCTTTTGAAATATTGAGATGTTTTACCATAGGCGTATACTGCCTTTTCAGGGACGAAAGGGGAGGATTTGGAAGCCCAATCTCTGGTCCTACTTTTATTACTCAGTAGCTTTGACTTTGGACAAGTAACTTATCTGCAAGGTGCTTCCTTTCTCTGGGAAGTGGAGGTGTTGAGTCCCACATCAGGGGTTGGTGGAAGGGAAATGAGACAGGAGCTCAAAAAGTGCAGTTGAGTGGCGTGGGTGGGGGTGAATCGGGTTCTCAGCCCCTTTGGGGACCGCAGAAGTTCAGCAGCAGCAGCAGCAGCAACAGTGACAGCCAACACATGGGGTGGTGTTTGACTTAAGGGCTCCCACCAGTCAGCCGCAGAACTCGAAAAAGTCACCTCAAAGTCTCTGGATTTCAGTTCTTTTATCTGCAAAAGAGCAGCGGTGGGAGAGTGGAAATTATACTAGATGGTTCACTTCAGCTAAAAACGGACCAGAAAACATGATTTTAATATTGGTTGGAAATGATTCAGTGCAATAACAGAGGCATAAAAAAAAGCCCCCAGGGGAGTTTACGGTACAGAGCCATCACTTCCAGCTGCAAATGTGCAGAGGAGAAGAGGACATTGCGGAAAGGAGAAACTCGTGGTCTCTTTACCTAAGTCACCCACACCTTGATGCCAGGCACCTGTTCACTTTTTCAGCTGTTTTTGTAAAGTCCAACAGAAAGGAGAGGTACCTGGACAGTCTGTAAAACGGTGGCCCCCAAGGAACTATGCCTCCTTGTAATCAAATCCTAGTGTAATCCTCTCTGACACTGACTTTGGGATTGGCCGTATGACTTGCTTTCGCCATGGGACACAAACACAGCACAAGCACACACTTGATAAGCACTTGCACACTGGGTCTTTGGACACCGCCTCTGGAAGCCAGCCTCCATGCTTCCAGGAAGCTCAAACCAAACTACCAGATGACAAGAGGACATGGAGAGGAAACCCAGAGGACAGGAGTCCTCATGGGCATCCAAGTCTTAGCTGTTCCCCAGCCAATGCAGCCACATGGGCGACCTCGGCAACCCTGTATTATGCAAAAGAATTACCCAGCTGAAGCCAGTCTACCCACAGGATTGCAAAACATGGTAACCTGTTGTTGATTTAAGCCACTAAGCATGGGAGTAGTTTGTTGGGCAGCAATAGGTAACTTTGTCTTGTGGGAAGCTAGGATTTCCATTTCAGGTAGGGTTATGAGAGTTGCTGAGTCCATTTGTAAGAAGGACGCAATCTTAAGCTTGCTTCCCCAGTATTTCAGTTTCAGGGAGTCCATTTGGGGGAAGCTAGGATTTCCGTTTCAGGGAGGGTTTCGAGAGTTGCTGACTCCTTTTGGGGGAAGGATGTAGTCTTAAGCTTGCTTCCCCAGAAGCAAAAGGGGAATGAGATAAACAGACCTTTGGTTGTTTGGCTTCAAGCTGTCTTTTAACCAAAGAAACTTTACTGAAGAAAAAAGGAGAAACTTGGCTGAGATCTGAAGTGTGATGAGAATATGGATCAGGGAAGACAGGCCAGGAGGCCCCTCTGAAAGTAGGAAGCCACAGAAGCAGCAGTGCCAAGGAGGACAACCCAGGGTGGCCCTGGCTGCAAGAGGACACCTTGCTGAAAGCACCGCAGGTGGCAGTAAGCAGACATTTTCCAGAAGAATCCTGAAGGCAAATACTCTGTTCTGCTCTCAGCAAACCCATGCAACTGTCAGACCACGTACTCCATAGAGTCCAGAGGTAGCTGCGGTGGGGGTGAATCTTCCTGATGCTGCCAAAGTAAGTGGAAATCAGATGGAATAAAATAATATGGTGGCATGGGCCCAGCCTTCTAGGGGTTTCCACACCCTTCATCTCACATAACCTTCACACCATCCTGTAGGGTCGGGAGGGCATGAATAAAAAGCCTCCTCCCCAAAATGAAAGAACAGAGAACAAAAAGGGCTAAGGGACTTTGTGAGGCCACGCAGTAGTCTGGGACCTCATCCATCCCAGGTCTTTCTGCTGTGCCTCTATCATCCCCTCGTCCAGGGAGGGTGGCGGCTCTGCATGTGTTTAGTCGGAAGTGTGGGGTGAGAGCAGCCACTGGAAAGAAAGCCCCGTTGTGACAAGGTTGTGCCCTGAGCTGCCTGGCCCACTCACCCCGCTGCCTGTGTTCCACCCAGGCGGGCTGCGTGTCCCA